ACTGTTGTAGATTTCATTGACTGGTGCCATGTTTTCGTTCGACCGCCGCTAGCTCTTTTCCAGCCTGGCCCTATATCAGCTAACATTGCCCGTCGAGGAAGGCGATGACTAGGCATCCGTAACACATGTCCTAACCATCTCAATCGATGTAATTTCACAGTCTCGTCGACTGATTTCCCCACCTTACCTGGCACTCGACGCCTAACCTCAATATTGGTCACTTTATTATACCACTTCACGCGGTAGATAGAACGCAGACACCTATGATCGAACACAGATAATCTTTTCATATCTTCTGCTCTCAATGGCCATGTCTCACAGCCATAAAGGAGGACGGAGCGGACTGTGAATTAGCTACCTAACAAGATAGACTGTTGACAAGTGAATTGATGAGTCATACATCAGAAATGACTTCTATGGCTTATACCTATAGTGTATACTAGGTTTATTTCACTGTGAATAAAAGTATGGTAACATAAGTTTACTTCAGTTTTTGGCTACCTCCTACTGATTAGGAGTTACAACTAGTACATGACCTAGGTTGAAAAGCTGCCCCCTATAAATGACATAACCGATATTGCTTAACGGTGTGTTTAATCTCTTTGTTTATATTTTGTAAAATTATTATTGTTCACTTGGGTTCTGAGTGGAACATATGGCTTCACCATCACGTTTCCACTTCGTCCTATTTCCTGCAGTCCTGTGTAGTTGGTCTGACTACTGCCCATGGTCTCTCATCTCCTCCACACTATACGATCTCCTCCCCCGGTCGATAGCTGCTACCTTGACGTGGTGGTCGGGCTTGCACATCGCGATGATCCAACAAGCTACACTGGCTGGAACTAATGTTCCTGAAAGTCCTGCCATGCCAGGAAGGTTGTTAAGATAACGATTAGACTAAAAGCAGTTATCAGCATAGTGTAAGATTTTTTCACACTATATTGGTTGTCTGTAGGCGAAGTTGTATTTCTGGGGAACAGGGAAGTAACAGCAGTAAGGTGTTTACCTCAGACGACCATCATGTCAGCTGTTCTGTCTCTCCACTCTGGAGAGAAGGTCGAGTTCAAACAGGCCGTATTTGACCGGCCTCAAGCAGTTGTCCCCTGGTCCGTGCGGTCACATAACACCAATTCTGTTTTAGGTACCCGAAGAAAAAATCAACCTCCATGGTGTGGGCAGTCGGGAAGCAACAACCGCCCACACACTTCGAAAAGCACACGAAACCCTCCTGATCATCTTTCTCCTTTATCCATGTCACCTTCATCTTGCTTCCTTACTACTGTTAATACTATTCAGCAGGCTGGGCAGTCATCTTCATTTCATTCTGTAACCATTAGTAGCGATTAGAGAAGAAAAAAGAAAACAGAAAAGGAGAAAGAACAGCACCTTGAGGAACACCAGCTAAAGTAAGTGAGGTAGTGGACGACTTTCCATTGTAGACGGTGTACTGCTTCCTATCAGAAAAATGGGAATGCAACCACCTATTTGTCCAGCTCTCAGCCTGTGTTGCAGCAAGCTTACTTAGCAAGAGAGACCTAGGTACTGAGTCAAATGCAGACGTGTCGGTCGGTCGGTCGGTTTTCCACATAGAACTTTGCACATATGTGCGGCAGTTCAAGTCGCCACACTCCCCACATGTAGCACACAAAGCAAGAGACGAAATGCATAGTATAGACAGTAAACAGAGATGTGAGACAAAGGAATAGTAATAACAGAGGACAAAACAGTTTAACTGGAAATCATAAGTCACAAGGAGTGGATGCATCTGCGCCAGCCAGTGAGAACGATTTTGAGCCATGTCACCAGGTGTTTCGAAACATTGGTTTTTACCGTCCCGAGGACCCCAACCAGGAAGTCTACATCTTCCTACGTGGCTTAGACTAACTGCTGTAGATTTCACTGACTGATGAAGTCATGTTCTGGTTTGACCGCCACTGGCTCTTTTCCAACCTGATCCTATATCAGCTAACATTGCCCGTCGAGGAAGGCGATGACTAGGCATCCGTAACACATGTCCTAACCATCTCAATCGATGTAATTTCACAGTCTCGTCGACTGATTTCCCCACCTTACCTGGCACTCGACGCCTAACCTCAATATTGGTCACTTTATTATACCACTTCACGCGGTAGATAGAACGCAGACACCTATGATCGAACACAGATAATCTTTTCATGTCTTCTGCTCTCAATGGCCATGTCTCACAGCCATAAAGGAGGACGGAGCGGACTGTTGAGCAGTACACACGCCCTTTAGACGTGTAATCAAGGGAGGCACACGCACCTAACGTATTTAGCTACTCTATCTAAACTAGAGACTCTATTATGATATAGAACAACAGCGGCATCTAAGGTACACCTATTATGTTTATAAGCAAAGTGGTTGGGGTCATTGAAAGGCTTTAAAGAGGGTTCAAGATTAAGTAAAATAAGTCTTTCCATAACTTTTAAAAAAGGTGAGGTAATAGCAATCGGTCGAAACTTAACAACAGTAGGTCCACTTGTTGATTTAGGCACTGGAACAACCTCTAACTTATGATAAAGTCTAACTGATCAATAAGAGTTTTACAACACTAAATAAAAATGACCTTGAGTAAGTAAAATATGATTAGATAGGAAATAGGGTAGAGCGAAATGAATTGCATAAAATTTGAAACAATTTGTGCACTTTTTTCCAAAATTAAATTTGTTCATCCAGAAGGAAGAATTGTGAAGTCAAATGAAGTAGTGACCGATTGTTATAAAACATTCCACGTAATCTAACTAAAAATAAGACTACATTGACCCTCCAACGCCATATTCTGATTCGCTTATATTCGAGGTTCTAGGTGGAATTGAATACATACTTTCTAATGTCACATTTTTGTCCAAAATTGATTTAGTGTGTCATTCTCACAATTTATATCACAAAGTGGTATGGAGTACTATTTTAGACAATGGTTTGTTTAAGCACGTTAAAGAGAAAAGGGGATTTTGATTTGTACTCATTTGGCAAGATTTCCATTAATTCTGTAGACTATTCTGACGTTACAGGATTTCATCATGAGCTGAAATCAGTTAGAGAGCCATTGGAAAACCAGCCAGGGAGTACTGGACAGCTGTTTCCTCCGTCTTAGTGTGGGACTCCTCGTCAGTACGCACCTACCGGGGTTGGAACCCAGGACGCTCTGGTTGCAAGACCAGCGAGCTCGTAGACCACTTAGCCACTGGGACCCGATCCAATGGCCAGCCCATGAATTCCAACTTCTGCCAATTGACGGCATAGCGCGACAGCCAGACAATGTATTCGGTGAGTATTTGTCCTCACACCTATCTGCTGCACCCTACTGGACACGACTTCCCACTAAAACCCCAAGTAACTACCTACCTGGACAGGGCCAGTCGCTAGTGAGCATCAGATCAATTTTCGAGTATTGGTTTTTGTAGGGATTTTGTTTGATTGGTTGGAGGATTTCATCATGAGTTGCCATCAGTTAGAGAACCATTGGAAAACCAGCTGGGAGTACTGGACAGTTGTTTCGTCCTAGTTTGGGAGGTTAGAATTCATGGGTAAGTTATTGGAATGGGTCCCAGTGGCTCAATGATCTACGAGCTTGCCTTGTAACTGGAAGGTCCTGAGTTTGAAATCTAGCGGTGGGTGCAAACTGATGAAGAGTCCCAAACTAGGACAAAACAGTTGTCCAGTACTCCTTAGCGGTTTTCCAATGGTTCTCTAACCAATGTCAGCTCATGATGAAATCCTGTAGCCAATCAATGTAAGTGAAAAGCAAATATTTCTTCGCTTAATCTTTCTGATTTCTAAATAAGATTTCAGAGTGATGAATGTCTGTCTTGGCTTTCTGATTCTCACTGATTTTGACATCCTCATCTATGCACTGTGCCTGTAGTTTAAAGGAGGCCATCTGATCGGGTAAGCGAAGAAAGTTACCACATTCGAAATTATGTTGATAGTAATTGGTGCTTCTTGTTGTTGGTTAGGTACCTTCATCACTTCTGTCTTCTCTGCCCGCCTACCTTGACGTTGTGTTTGGGCTTGCATATCGCAATGACCCAACGAGCTACACTGGCTGGAACTTATGTTCCTGTAGGTCCTACCATGCCAGAAAGATTGTTTGGATAGCGGTTAGACAAAAAGTAACTACCCAATCCTACACTATGATTCAAATAAATCCACAAAATATCATGCCGGATCGGTCGGGGCCCGGATTAACAACGACCGCGCTTCCTGCTGCCGTGTCACAGGGCAGAAGTGATAAATATGCTACTGAGACACACCAAATGAAAAACAACAAACAAAAACAGGCCGTGTGTGACCGGCCTCAAGCAGTTGTCCCCTGGGCTCTGCGGTCACGCAACACTAACCTCTTCTCTATTTCAGGTACCCGAAGACTCAACCAACTTCCACGGTGTAGGCAGCCGGGAAGTAACAACCACCCACACACTTCCAAAAGCACACGAAGCCTACCTGAGCATCACTCTCCCTTATTCACATCACCTTCCTCATCTTGCTTCTCTACTACAGTTAGCACTATTCTTCAGGCTAGTGAGTCATCTTCACTTCACTCTGCGACCACAAACAATGATGAGAGCCATAGAAACACCCCAGATAGCCTTTTAAAGCCACGTCGCCAACTTCATATAGGAGCTTTTAGCGTCAGGACCCTCTGGAACTCTTCTACCGACTTGCTGCTTTTGCCTATAGATCTTCGAGTTTATGTGACAATAGAAATAAATCATCCACGAAATCTAGATCTTCCAGAGTCTTGTTATCAGTCCAACGTATTCCTGTGAACGAGTGAACCCACATTTTATCACCAGAATTCTCCCCACAATCATGCAACATTATAATGTAATAAACTGAACCGCTGAACACTCACCACCAAATGACGTTCTAATCCATCCACCCTATCCAACTAACACGCACAGTCAAAAACACAACCTAAAACTATTACCTACGTAAGATTTAAACTAAACTCTGAGCCTAAAAAGTAAGCAGACTCATAAAACTTGTATACTGTTCTTTCTCAAAAAAACAAAAACAAAAGAAAAAATAAAACAAGATTGCCTATTAGTCCATTTGAACCACTGTTTTTCTATGAGGCTTATACTCATCGAACCTATTCACTCAATATGAAACACAACACGGAATCACGTTGATTAGGTAAAACACATTGATAAATGTATTCATTATATAAAGAGTATCAAAAAAGAGAGATTATCATGAATCAAAAGATACAAGAAGAAATGGGACATCGATTCACCGCCCTCACTCTCTCTCTCTCGCTCAGTTGTTATCAGGACATAAAGCCATCAAACTGAAATCCACAGTATCAGGTGAATTTGCAATGAATTTTTTCACTACATTGCATGTATCCGATAGAAAGCCGGCAGATGTAGTTGATCCGTGACGAATAGGTGCATTTTTTCGACCATCTAATAATCAATACAAAAAAACAGTACGTCTACTTAATATCATCAAATAGAATGGCGTGTAATACACACTAGTTTTTCCTTCACATTCCTAGTGCAACATAGGGCTCCAAGCTAGAGGCTTGAAGTTTCTGTAGCAGTTTTTATTTTACAGGACGGGGTTGCTAGCCTCATGCCCAACCTTTCCTCTTCACCAGCATTATTTCTGGCTCGACGAGGTAAAGGAGTGCGTCGGCCGGTGATCGAACCCCGGACCATGTGCATGGTCGGCGAGCGTCCTAACCGCTGTACCACCGACGCACCATACACACCTTACTGGTGTTAAAAGAATGAAAATGGTGAGATGGTGATTATACTTACCAAAGTAAAACATTCTAAATAAAGGATGATGATATGCAATAATGGCTACCGAAAAGGTTGTCAAAGTGTGTGTGGACTGGCTGGTCTAAGTTCTTCATGTATCTCGGCTACGATATATTTCACCTATGGTTCTGTAGTGAGAGCTGGCTGCTAGCTAGCCTAATTGGTAGACATTAATTTACGTCAAGGTTTATGTCCCAAATATTGGTCGTGAGAAAAATGAGAACAAAGACTTTGCGTAGGCGGATACAGTTAGCATATAGATGATCTGACATTCAAGAAACAGCCACAAAGAGATGAAATGTTAACTTTCTGTGAGGAACAACCAATCAGAAGACTTTTTCTGCTAACAATAATCTATAATAATAATGTACATGAAAATCTATAAATGTGTTGATTTCCCTTAAATAAACGATCTGTTGCCTGGCCCTTGTCTTCTGTTGTTACAGTTCTACTGAATAAAGAATATTGCTAACCATGCGCCAACTGTCTCCCCCCCCCCACCTCCCGCCACACTTGACGCCAATATAACACGATGCTACTAAGGACATATTCTTCATTTCTCGACTCTAAAATTTGTCATTCTCACATACCTGGTGTTCATTAGATATTTTTGTTAGTCAATATCAACTGTTTGAAGGGGAGCCCAATCCACTTCCTTGGTGGCGTTAAGTACTGCACGTTTAAGGTTTCCGTGGTCTTCGGGATACGTGTAACTTGTTTAACCTAAAAGCTGATGCTCCTCACTACAATAATTGAGAGGTATTTTTTTTTAATTCACGTCAGGGAAAAATATCCTGTTTAATGTGCTTTATCCACTCACGGTACAACGAGGATTAATACAAGCTCTTGCAGATAGAATACGTAGACTTACAACAACGCCTGAGGACCAGTGTAAAGAAATAAACGTCCTATTCAAAATGCTACTCGAAAATAACTACCCAAAAGAATTTATAAAAGATAATATAAAAAAGAGAAAAAAGAGAGTATAAACGGAGAATAATAAGATGGAAGAATGCAAAAAAAGTCACAATACCATATAAAAATGGTACATCAAAGGCAATTCAAAGAAACCTCAAAAATATCGGCATTCACACAACTTTTAAACCGACAAATCTAATCAAAAATAAAATAAATCAACTGAAAAATCCCTTAAAAATGATGGATAAAAACAACTTGATTTACAAAATATCTTGTGCCGACTGTCCGACTAAATATGTGGGGAAAACGTCCAGATCACTCAAAATAAGAGTGAATGGACATAAACGCCTAACCAAATGCCAACCGACAGGAACACAAGCCTACAAGAATCTTGAGAATAATTCCTCGATAGCTGCACATGCATGGGACAAAAACCACAATATCGATTGGAACAATGTGAGTATTCTAAAAACTAACATGAACAAATGGAAAGAAAGACTTATAACAGAATCGATATTCATTAAAGTCACACCGGATACATGTAACAATGGTGACTCAGTACAATTATCAACAACTTGGAATATAATTCTGAATACAAAAACATGAATGAACCTGGAATACAACTTAAATACAAAAAAGAAAACATGAATGAGCAAAAATAATGAACTATATATATGAGTACAAATCATAAATGTGTGAATAAAGCAATTCCAACAGTGGTGTGAACACGGGCAGTAATTTTGCTCGAAATATTACCGATAACAAAACTTATCATTGTGTAAACTATTGAAATATAATTATAATTTATTCTGTCTTGTTTCATTTTTATGTGATTTTTCTGATTGGTCGCCTCAAAGTCAGTTGTGCGTTGGCATTCCATGGATCGCCACAGTTTAACTTTACCGAATATTTCTTCGAATTTAGATTTTTACTTATCGCTAACCGATGTTGGTTAGTAACGAAATCTATGTCGAAATTTCTTGGAATGTCTGCAACAATGGAATGAAAGCATTATTCTTAGTTTTAGTCCTCTAAAAGAACTGGCGCGGAATCATGCTCTTGTCCACACCAAGTAAAAAATTAAGTCGCGTCATCCTCGAGAGGCAAAGAAAAATACGCTGGATGCAGAACTCCACCAGCCAAGAACAAGCTGGATTCATGAAAGGCAAATCATGTGCTTGTCAAATTGCAACTCTACGCATTATCATCATCATCGAAAAGAGCATAGAATGGCAGTCAAACCTCTACCTCAACCTCAACGACTTTGAAAAGGCCTTCGACAGTGCAGCGTTGACCGCGAAGTAATTTGGAAACTATTTCAACACTACAGCGTCCAGTTCCCAAATCTTTATCAACCTCATCCGACAGTTGGCTACATGACAATGCCGCGTGTCAGGTGATCCATACGGAAAACTCAAAGAAGGACTCTTTGTAAAGATAGCAGTTATACAAGGCTGCCTACTATCAGCGATGATATTCTTAATCGTGATCGACTGGCTTATGTAGAACACCTCACGTGGGAGGTGAGAAGACAGCCATATTTTAGGCCGAGAAGAGGACTATAGAAGATCTCAACTTCGCAGATAACTGATGTCTAATATCACACAAACTCGAAGACATACAGGCGAAAACCAACAAACTAGAGGAAGAAGAGAGGGCAGCAAAGACAGGACTTCAAGTAAACACAGAGAAGATGGAGGTGATGAAGGTAACCAACCAGCCAAGCAACAACAGCAACAACAAGCACCAGTCATTACCAATGGAATAAATTTGAAAGAGGTCACCTCATTCAACTATCCGGCTAGGCAGCATCCTTCCAACTACAGCCAACAGACATGAATGGGATGTCAAAGCCAGTCAGCATTGGAAATCCAAGACAGACCTTCATCATTCTGAAATCACTTTGGAAATCTTCTCCACTCCACAGCATAAACAACAAAGTGGAGATTTCCAGCACTAATGTTAAGTCAGTCACTTCTTCCATATGGATCAGAAACTTACACTGCCTGTGAGTTACGAAAACCATTTTGAGCAGCCAGCTGCAGACTTTTATTATTAGTTTCCATTTTCGCTGGCTGCATATTGAAGACCAGATGGACGGCGAGAGAGAATGAGCAGGAAGAAACTCTGTGAATGAACCTATCAAGAAACTATTGCTCAAGAAATATTCCGAGGAAAATGGAGATAGATCGGCCACATGCCGATGACGAGGCCATCGAATGATATCACATGCCAGGTCATCACTCAAGTGGAACCCAAATTGGGAACGACAAGTTGGGTGTTATTTCGAGAGTGGTATAGATGAGATCATGTGGTGAGAAGGAGATGAGACACCATGGATAATCGTGAGGTCAGCTAAAGAGGATCGCGAAGAATAGGACGAAGATGTGCTATTGAAGCCGTATGTTCCACTTGGAGCCCAAGGGAATAACAATAAGAATAGATAATTATCCTCGGATTAGGGTAGCTGATTCGTCACACAGAAATCAGATGAATTAATTCTAAAACACGCAGGCAAACATTTGTAAAAAATTATATTTGTAAAATCTCAGCGAAAGTGAAATGAGTAATTCCAACGTTTCGTTCGGAAATCTGGTCCGAACTTCTTCAGGGAAATTAATCCAAATTAACATTACAGAGGTTTATATATAAAAGGAACATCACTTGTTTTTAAAAACCACTTTGTCCAATCATGAGTCATTCAACAAGTATCAACAAGTATATTAAACAAAATTTTATGAGCTGTGATCAAAGTTTGACCTCGGACTTACAAATATTGGTCTACCTTTGTTAAACACTTTAAACAGAGTGTGTATGTGTGTGTGGGTAAACAGAACTATTCTGTCAAATCTTGACGACAGTTCATTTGAAACGGTAGGCATTTTAAAAAAATTGACGAGTCGTAGGAACATATATACACTAAAAGACGAAACCATTACTATGAAATAATGGTATCAAGTTTATTAGATATTAGTCGATATCATATACCTAAGAAGATGAAAACAAGCACACTAAATAAAGGGTTTATAGTCAGCGTAAGGCTACAGCTAAACCAAATAAGCGAAACACATCTGGAGTGATTTCAGTTTTTAGACTCGCAACTTCTAAGCGGTCTGTTTAAAACTAATAAACAAGTTAAATGCTTGTGTGGTGTAATCAAAATGCAGTAATCAATCAGTTGAGTGGATTCATAATTTAGCTCCGTGTATCTACACAATAACAACAATGACGCTTATATAAAATACGACTTGCAAACCAAGTCTGTCAACAGGTATGTATGTATTGGTTAGGGATTTTTAAAGATTTCTTTGCGTTTCGAAAGGAAGGCGTGGCACTAGGCCTTGACGTTTCAGTAGCAGTAGGGTGTTATTTACACGAGATAGTGTTGCTAGCCTCACAACCGACCCCCTCCCTTCTTCTATCGACTTACCATCGACAAGCAAACTAGGTGAGGTTTAAGAATGTGTCAACCGCGAGTTGAACCCCGGACCACTTGCGTGGCTAGGCGTGAAAACATTATAACATGCATCGGTGACGGGAAGGTAGGAAGTTAGCCAATCACACCACAAGTGGTCTGCAGTTCGATCCCTCCCAGCCATCGCCTTCTCAAACCCCGAGCTTAGATGGTAATAATAGTGTTAAATAACTATCCTATAAGTTCATTAAGAAGAAAAGGTCAAAATAAAAATAATGGGGAAACTAATAATGATAACATAAGTAGGAAAGAATATAAAGCATCTACAGTTTTACCATATACGGAGAGAACATCTGAAACCCTAAGTAGGATTCTTAATACAGCAGGAGCTAGACCTACAAACTCACTCAAGGACAAGCTTTGTGGGTTAAAGGACACTGAACGTTGACCCAATTGGACAAAATAATAATATTTACAAAATACCCTGTAATGACTGTGAATTGAGTCAACTACATAGGTCAATCTAGTAGGTCGGGGCTAGTCAGATTGTCGGAACATAAGAATTTAGCTAAGTTAAGAATGGTTGACCCCAAGAAGATAGGTAATTCAGAATAAAGCTCAGCACTGTATTGCACTGCATGCATTAACACACAATCACACAATAGGGTGGGAGAGGGTTAAAATTCTAAGAAGTAATATAGGTAGGTGGAGAGAGAGGTCGACCACCCAACGCATACAATAGGGATGACTCATCATGTAAACCGGAAATATGAAAAATACTACTACCAATCAAATGAAGCGATGGAAACTAAAATAATGGAATTATATAAACGAAGTTAGAAAGCTGTTTGAGTAGTACCTTGATATGATTATGAGCAGTAATAAATTGTGTTCGAAACGTTGTCATCAGTAAATATTACTGTATGACAAACATTGTGAGACATTCTCAAAATAAATTGTATCCACAGGGCACAAGTTCTGCTCTTATATGAATGGTAATAAGCTCGCCAAAAAAGGAAGGTTCGGGGGGGGGGGCGTGTGACTAACAACTCCACCACCTCATAATAATAAAAAATACCACTGCTACGGAAACTTCACAGCTCAAAGCTTGAAGCCCCCTCCCCCACTATGTTCCATTGGGAACGCATAGGGATAATTAGAAAATAACAAAATTTAAAACAATTAGTTTCATTTATGAATTTAGATAAATTTGTCTGAATCATGCCTGCAATGTATTTGCGCAACACATTTCGAACAATCTGATCACACACACGGACTTCTCATCGGAATATATATGAAATTAATCAAGAGATAAGAGGTGAGAAAATAGACTTGGGTCAAGTTAAAAGGACATATTGAAGGTCGAAATAACAATGAAGACCACTAATCCAAATAACAGAGGTAATAGTACATCTACCCTGGTGTGGATTAATCGAAAATGTGCCACTTTATAGAAGGTATGTTGACGACATTGTCATCATAAGTCATAAGCGCCTTGTTCTGCCACTTCAATTTTAAATCGAATGAATGAAGTTCAGAATAGCATATCATTTACGTCTGTAGTAGAAGAAGATAATTGTTTATCTTTCCTAGATAAATTTCTTGGTCGACGGACGGCTTGATGGATCAATAAAACGATCTATTCATAGAAAACTTACCTGGACAGGACAGCATCTTAATTACGACAGTTTCTGCTCTGTTCGGTACAAAAGAGCCTTAATAAGGTGCCTCTCTTCAGTAGAATCCAACGAATATGCACTGAAGACACACTTGATGAGGAGGAAGAAAGAAAGTTGACACAAACTCTGGTTGATAAATAATTATCCAGACAAGTGTTCATCAGGAGATATAAAGTAGTCAGAAAGACAAGACCCACTCTACAACTCGCCCCTAAGAAAGACGTGTACATCAAGCTACCCTATATGGGGCATCATAGCAGCTTGATAACTAGACGAAAACTGAACGCTGCTGTTAAAAAGAATTTTTATGCAGCTAATATCATAGTAATTAAGAATGTGAAACCAATGTATCCGTTTAAGCCCTTTGAACATGTGAAGAATGATGTTTTATCTCACTGTATTTACCAATTTGAATGTACGTGTTGACACACATACAAGTATGGGCTTCAAAGCATATTCCTAAATGGCTCCAGAAACAAATAGAATCCCCAGAACCCATTAATGGTGAGAACAAGAGACCTAGCTCCTCTATTGCGAAATATATTATAGAGACAGGACATAAAATTGACGTTAACAGATCTTTTAAACCTATCTATAAAACGTGTTTGGGGCGTATCCTAAAGTTTGTGGAAGCCCTAGCAATTAGAAAGTCTAAGCCACCTTTATGCGTTCAAAAACAATTCGTCATCACATTAAATCTTCCTTGGTAAATTTTGTCTTGACACCATAGCAGATGTACTATTACCTCTCTTATTTGGTTTAGTGATTTTCATTGTTATTTTCACCTTCAATATATCCTTGCAATTTGACCTAATTTGTCTATTTTCTCCCCTCTTAACTCTTTATTAATTTCACACATAAATATTCATTCCTATGACAAGTCCGTGTGTGTGATCAGATTGTTCGAAATGTGTTGCGCAAATACACTAAACACACGATTCAGACAAATTACGTCTTCTTATTGCTTTATCTAACAACAACAAAAACTATAACAAAAGCATAAAAAAACTTCCAAAAGATATAAAATCAGTAAATCGAACACACTACTTACCAAGTTCATACAGACTACCACAATGTTCAACAAAACAGACAAAGTGTAAATTTGTTTTTGACTCTGCATCAGGTGCCTAATTGATGAAGGATATAATAAAGAGGTTCAACAACAACAAACATTTGTCTGTCCTTCTAAAGCTGATTTTTCATGTAATATAGACAGATCCTTCTAAAAGGTATTAGGAAAAAGAAAATAGAATGAAGTGTCAACAAATTCACAAGTCAATTACTTTACTTTCCATTACAGCACCACGTTCAGCAGGTGTCATATCTTCAATTCCATCTAGAACATTGCTTAAAAATGAACCATCTAGAAAATATTAAAAAAAAAAAGAATTAATACAGTTTAAGAGCAGTCAATGCATAGAATTTAAGTAAATGAAATACATCGGCCCATTAATTCACATCCTACGGGGTTAGATCCCCGGCGACCGACGCACTCCTTTACCTCGCTGAGCCAGTCATAATACTGGTAAGAAGGGAATGTTGGGCGTCCCCGTAAAAATCAACACCACTGCTATCGAAACTTCAAGCCTCTAGCTTGAAGCCACCCTATGCTCTACTGGGAATGTAAAGAAATAAAACAAAATTTTAAAATTACATATTTACTTCTTTTATGATGTGATGCTTGTGTTAATACACAAGTAGTTTGTAGTGTGAGTTTATGGAGACAAATGATGTGCTGGTAGAGGTCCAGAACAAAAAACGACGGATACTAGGATAAAATACTAGAAACAAGTAGAGGAGCGATAGTAATTGAAGAGATGGAATATAAACAATGTAAGGCCATAATATCTTACTAATGTTCACCCTAATCTTTCTACTAATCCAATTCCGTCTGTTTCTAACACTGTTATTCACACTAACTGATATCGCTTCCACCAAAAATGATGGTCATGTATTTTCTGACTGACTGGTTTCAACATAGAACTTTGCACAGATATGCAGCAGTTCGAGTCGCCACACTCCTTCAATTTAGCACACAAAGCATCAGAAGAAAAAAAGAAATGCAAAACAGAGACAGTAAACAGAGATGTAAGGCAAGAAGAATAGTAACATGGAAGAATGATATAGTTTTACTGGAAATTATAAGTCACAAGGAGTGGATGCATCTGCGCAAACTATTGAGAACGATTTTGAGCCATATCACCAATTGTCTCCAGCCATTCGCTTTTACCGTCCCGAGGACCCCAGTCAGACAGTAGTCTACACCTCCATGAGTGGCTGGCTGGATTAAACTAACTGTTGTGGATTTTATTAACTGATGAAGTCATGTTTCCGTTTGACCACCACTAGCTCTTTTCCAACCTGAACCTATGCCAGTCAGCTAACATTGATTGTCGAGGAAGACGATGGCTAGGCAGACGTAACACATTTCCTAACCATCTCAATCGGTGTAATTTCACAACCTCGTCGATTGACTTCCCCTCCTTACCTAGCACTCGACCGACGCCTAACCTCAATATTGGTCACTTTATTATACCACTTCACGCGGGAGATAGAACGCAGACACCTATGATCGAACACAGCTAATCTTTTCATGTCTTCTGCTCTCAATAGCCAGGCCTCACAACCATAAAGGAGAACGCAGCGAACTGATGAGCAATACACACGCCCTTTGGTTGATAGCCGGATATCACGTCTACGCCAGAGATGGCATATGCGCTTAGTTTCGTATCGTGTGTAGTTGCCATTATCTTACTTCAGGACCTCTAACAAAAATCAAACAAAAATATGAGGATGCACACATAAACACACTTATTGTTTTACTTTTCAGATATTGAAAGTACTTGTTCAGTGACCCATACATTTATACTGGTTACTAATAATTCCCAGCTATTCCACGTAAAAGAGGGGAATATTTCAAAATTTGAGTAAAAGAGTAACAGTGTGTACACTATCAATGTCTTAAACAGTTTTCAAGACCATTTGGTGTATATATGTGAACAATTAATTTTATTTGAAATATCCGGTAAATAATATTGTCATACTGTGTGACATACCTAGTTAGAGAACTAATGCTCATAGATACCAAATGATCTTTGTTGAAACCACAGTTTAGTGAATTAGACTTGCCAACAGTGGACTGAAGGCTTATAAGTGCAGTGGACTACATTGACTCCTAGCTTAGAAATAGGAAGTGAAGTGGTAGAGAGTGTTGACCACTTCACTTATTTGGGAAGTTGCATCAGTCATAGCAAACGTGGTGATCGCTGACGAAATCTCAGCAAGGATACAACGGGCTAGTTTCGCATATACCAGTTTACGCCGTCTCTGGCGTGGACGTGATATCCGGCTGGCTATCGAACAAACGACGTGTGTACTACTCAGCAGTCACTTTGCTCCGTCCTCCTTTATGGCTGTGAGGGAGACATGGCCATTGAGAGTGGAAGACATGAAAAGCCTAGCTAGCTGTCTTTGATCATAGATGCCTGCATTCTATCCCCCGTGTTAAATGGTATAATAGTGTGAGCAATATTGAGGTGAGGCATCGATCAAGTGCTAGGTAAAGAGGGGACATGTGTTACACATGCCTAGCCATCGTCTTCCTCGACGGTCAGTTACCTGACTGGCATGGGATCAGGTTGGAAAAGAGCTACTGGTGGTCATACCAAAAGATGGCTTCATCAGTCAATGAAATCCACAACAGCCAATCACGTAGGGAGATGTAGACTTCCTGGTTTGGGTCCTTGGGACGGTAAACACGAATAGCTGGTGATATGGCTCAAAATCGTTCTCACTGGCTGGCGCAGATGCATCCACTCCTTGTGACTTATAATTTCCAATGAAACTATATTGTTCTTTGTTCTCTGTTTACTGTCTCTGTTTTCCAATTCTTTTTACTTTCTTCTCTTTCTTTGTGTGCTAAATTGAGGGAGTGTGGCGACTCGAACTGCTGCACATCTGTGCAAAATTCTATGTTGAAACCAGTCAGTCAGCATCTTACGAAGTTTGAACGGTTGAATAACACTAATAATGCTTAAACCATACATATAACTCATAGCCTAATGAAATCTGTTACTGTAGCGCTGAATGACGTAGGTTTGAGTCTTGGAGAGGACCATTTCCCTCAGGATTGCAGACGCATTTCCCTATCAAGCGTTAACTAACATGGAACTTAAATTCACGTCCCCTATTGACTGGCGAATACAGACCAATATCAGTATTCAGACAGGAAGTGACAAAATATATACATGTATCAATAACATAGCCCATATTTTAAATTGAAATGTTCAAGTTCGTAGTTTGTTTATATGAAATTGAGAATAGATATCCAGAAACTGGAAAGTATGCTGGTCCACAGTGGAGTGGACGCTTTAACCGTAAAGTATATTTGCCTATTGGTTACACCTAATTTATGTTTTATTAACATACTAATGCAATAGACTTATACTTGAAAATGGCTTCCTAGAATAGAAGTTTTAATACCAGAGTGTTTTTTTATTCTGTTATTTCCTTGGTAGTTAGTAATGGAATCCAAAAGAGCAGTTAGGTGACCATAGGACCTGCCAGTCAGTTGAACATATCTGTATTGTAAGGAATGAAGATCGAAGCTTATTTAAAATTCAGTTCACCCATACTATTTTTTAATCCTCACAATTAAAACTGGTTTGACAGAGTTTCGGCTTAGCTACAGTTAAAGAACAGATGATTTAGACTAAGAAATAACTGATATATATAAACTAATTAATACTGCCTTATCTGTATATGGTTATACTTCTAGCGCTGGACGAATGAGAACTACATCGAGAACGGCTAGATAGACTGACATCACACAGATTATATCAGTCAGGAAACCGACGGATGTTTCTTTGGTGAAATACCTTTAGAGGTTACGATATTTTATTTGAATTTTATCAATCGACACAAGATAATTTTAAATCTTTAAAATGGTCAGGTGCTCAGTAATGTATCAAAGACTTTATGATTCACTTGTATCGACAGACCTTTTTACACTTGGCGCACGAATAGTAATCATAACATCATAAAGACGATTAAGTCAGATAAGAGGACAGTTACTCGCCTATGGCACTGGTTGGAGGTTGCGTTATATACATAGCGAATTAGCAGCAGCTGGAATTCATGTGCATGACCAATGGTAGGCTACCAGTAGCTGAATGTTCTATGAGCTCGCCTTGTAACAGGAAGATCCTGCATTTATTAGGACGGACTAACTATGTTTGTTAGCAGTAGAGTCATGATTGATGCAATCTAACTTTTGTATCTACCTCAGTGTGGGGAAATATAGTGTCGTGACCGGAGGCTTATTCTAGTCAGATTAGACAGAAACCAACATATCACACCCCGTCACAACAAGGTTTGAACCCCAATGGGTGCAGACTGTTGAAGAGTCCAAAGCTAGGACGAAACAGCTGTCCAGTACTCCCCGGTTTTTCAACCGTTCCCTAACCGATGCCAACTCGCGATCAAACCTGTAACCACCAATCAAATTCCCTCAGACCAACCCTTGATGATTAAGTAATAAACAATGCAGTGTTTTGTAGGCATATTTGTGACAAGAGATCATATTTTTTTTAAACACGAAAGACTATCAAAATCTTATTGCAGGAGAGGCGATTAGAACATACACTGAAATGACTAAAACTTACCTTTGATACGCAATTTATCTCGATTATTAGCTATAGCATTCAATATAGCTATAGTTCCACAAGCATTACCAACGGTTTGTTTGATTAAAATAACCTTAGATGAATTATCCTCAACGCCTAATGATGCATTTTCAATCGAGTTGTCTAAAGGATATAACAACAGTAGGCTTATGACTGGTTGCGGTATAAATGCAAGCATATCATCATCCAAACTAAATACATCGGTAAATTTCCATACACTATCAACAACTCCAAGGTTATTCATGTACTACATGATCGGGTAGAGAGGGAGAGATTGATTAAATTTCAAAAATTATATTCACCTCATTCATCACCTAAATCAATAGAATGAAAATAGATTGTTATTCACTAACTGAAATCATACCTTAGGATTTGCTTCAAGAGGGATCCACCGCATTTTAGATGCACTGATATTTCTATTTCTGAGAAAAAATTTAAAACTATTATTAAAATTTTTGTTAGCTAGCGTCAATACAGGGGAACTAATAAGCATCAAGTTTTTATATCGGTTCACATCGTGTTTATAAACTACTAATGAATCAATCAAATGCGAAGAAACCTGACAAGTATACAAAATGTCAAGAAATTAACCGATGAATGTACATACTTCAGTCATAAGAACTGTAGACTAGTGTTACACATGAACCTAGGAGATAGTTGTTGACACAACAGCGATTTTAACAACTTTTGGTGGACCACGAGTGACCGCTTAGTAGGTCCTCATTTTTTTCCGCTGGCTGGCTGGACTCAACATAGAACTTGGCACCGAAGTGCAGTAGTTCGAGTTGCCACGTTCCAAATAGCGCACAAACGTAGACAAGAAAATGGGTGAAGAGAATCAATAGAGTTTTGACAAGTATAAGAGTGAAACAGAATGAGTAATAGTGTAACGACAGAAGACAAGGGCCAGGCAACAGATCGTTTATTACGACAAATCAACACGTATTTATAGATTTTTATGTACATTATTGTTGGTTGTTTATCACACAAGGTTAACCTTGCATCTCTTGTGGCTGTGTCAGTTCATCTATATGTTAACTGTAACCGCCTGTCCACCTTGACCTTTGACCTCAATTACTGTCAACCGATTTGGCCAGCAACCATCTCTCACCACAACATGACTAATATTTGACACATAAACATTGACCTGAATTACTGTCCACCACTTGGCTAGTAGACAGCTCTCACCACAATAGTAGAAAGGAATGTGAAAGATTACAGAGACTGAATACATCTGTGTATGCCATTGACAACGATTTTGAGCCATGTCACCTATTGTCTCCAGCCATTGATTCTTAGAGTCCCGAGGGTGGGCCCCAACCCGGAAGTCTGCATCTCCCTCCCTACCTGACTCAGTTTAACTGTCAGGGATTTCATGGATTGATGCCATGTTTTTGTTTAGCCACCATTTACTCTTTTCCAACCTGCACCTATATCAGCTAGTAATGCCCGTCCGTCGGGGGAGGCGATGGTTAGGCATGCGCAGCACGTGACCTAGCCATCTCAATCTATGTAACTTTATAGCCTCGTCGATTTATTTTCCCTCTTTGCCCAACACTCTATGCCTAACGTCAACATTACTTACCTTATTATACCACCTAACGTGAGAGAGATCAAAAACAGTCAACCTTTTCATGTCTTCAACTCGTATTGGCCATGTTTCAGAGCTATAGAGAAGGACGGAGCGAACTCCTGAGCAGTACACACGTCCCTTGGTTGATAGTCGGATGTCACGCCTACGCCAGAGATGGCGTAAGTTAGCGAAAGCAGCCCGAGCATTTTGGATCCGTGCTGAGATTTCGTCACCAATCAATCCGTTGGTGCTGATACAACTTCCGAAACAGGTGAAGTGGTAAACATGTTCTACCACTTCACTCCCTATCACTAAGCTAGGGGTAGACGTAGTCCAGTCCTGTAGCAGCATCTTACATTTTACAGGGGCGAATCGCGTGCCAAACATACGAAGACCATTCTTTTTCGGGTAGCTAAAAAGTAAACTCACGGTATATGTATATCTGTGGGTGAAGTTAAAGTATCACAGACAAAGTTGACCTTCACAAGAACCAGTCAGATACAGGGAACACTATGAGGGTTTTCATACAAACTTGTACCTTGTAGGGTTCGAAATAATAGTGACTATTTGAAACTACACTGAAACTTTGTATCTTCATGATGTAGCCTTTGATCACCTACTCCGACTGGTGAAATATGTTGAGCCAGACTGTGACCAAGCTTGTATGACTTGTCCTATCACCTCAGTTGATCCAAATATAAGATCATATTAAGTGACTTTTTATATTATAATACTTAACTTCAAGAGGCAAATACTGAGTGGTTATAGGCTGGCAGGCAATTATCTGAAGATATCTGTCAACAGGTGGAAGTTGAATGGTTTGTGTGCTTAATTTATTCTAACTGTAAACAACTTTATAATACGAGCTGTATATAATGGATCTATTCAGAAGAAAAGGCTTTGAAAAATTAAAATCACTGAATTTTTAGCTTTAGTCGGAAGATGTATTAAGCATGCCGGACCTTGTGTCACAAAAATATGACTAAATGATTGAAATTGCAAGCGCGGAAAAATTACAAAGCCGCAGTGGTTTCCAGAATCTAACCATTCGCCTGATACATATTAGAGTAGAACTCCCCATAAGTCGCTTGTGGTTGCAATAACCAATTGTTTAGAATATCTGAAAATAATCAATCCATTCTGAATAAACTGTACATCAGATACTTGAGTCCACAATTATCGTGTTGGTGAGGTTTAAAACAAGATGAATCATCTGTTACTAAATTTTGGGTGATTGCCGTCAATCGCCTATTTTAATGTCACGATATTGGCAGAAATATTGACTTCCCGCACACACACACACACACACACACACACACACACACAACCCACAGTCTAATCTGGCTGAACTAATTATTGCTATTGCCTTCAGTCTCATCACTACCCAAATGACACTATTGACGCTATCAATCTCCATGATTCAAAAGGCAATACACTATGGTACATGTAGAAAATTTGAGCTTGGATTATCAATTTGCGTAACACTATCCACACTTTATAAAATGTTAATATACTACCTCGCATAGCAAACACTGGACACGTATTTCATGAAAGAATTTTAACAGTATGAGCAGTGCTAATTGATTCCTCCGAAATTGCGCAACAAATTTTCTTCGTGACAGTCTCCAGAGACTTTCCATGACGCTAAATATGACTAAAGAGTAGTGAATATTTACTACTCTAACTACGTAGACAGTTCTCTCAATAGCACAGAACTTAACAGTCAAGTATAGAAGTCAGAAGCCTTTGTGTGGATACTTTGAGTAAAAATAAGCTTCTTCTGACCAAAATGAGCAGTCAAATTCGCTAAACAAACACCTAGCAGCACGATAACACAACCTACCTTTCAAAAGTAACAACTGATTTAGATATCGCGCGTTCTTTGAAAACTAGTATTTCCCTCACATGAAAAGTATGTAATGTGAGGACCGGATTTCTCGTTTCGTGAGCTCTGCGTTTAATTCTCTTAAAAATACTTCGTGGTGGTAGAGCGTCATCATCAATCCTACTTCAGACCATTCATTTCACTCCTAACATACAATCTGAATAGGGATATGTCGATGTATGGTGTTAGAATAATATACGAAGTTTCATCATAGTAGTAAATTTAAAAGCATGTCTGACAGAACGCTTTTTAATGTGCATTTAACTGATTTTTCTGTAAGTACAAGTGTTCATCTTCACTGATCACTGAAAGATTTGGCATTATGCTTATAAGTCAAGTTGTGCTGTTAGTAAGTTAATTTGATCGAAATGTTCATCGAATGACAGTGGCACGTGGGTCCATTTCCACTAACCATATCGTTTTTCCTCATTTCCAAGTATTTATGACATTTGCGGCACGTCATGGGTAATTTAGACGCTGCATTCAAGGATTACGAAGGCCATTAACAAATAAGTCAGGCCAAATGCTTATAAAACTTTCAGATCTTTTCAACAAAGGCTTTTACTGTACCAATTTTGTACTGTAGGGCACAACAGTTTCAAGTACTTAGGATTAACAGAGATGGAGAGGAACACTTATATAAAAATGGTAAGTTTGTTCTACGGAGGCTGTAGATTTTTAGTGGGGAGACTGTTTAAATAGTGTGCACCCAATATAATTATTATGCCTCTGAGTATTTGATACTTTGCAGTAAGAGCGGATTATATATTAGGTCGTGTAGTATTATACTGAATGATACTAGTTTTAACTGTTTTAAAACTTCTTCGGATGTCATTGTTGAAAAGTAACTTTGATCATAGAAACCTTCAGAATGATGTCGAGATAACTGAGTGAACAGAAACAGAAATAACTGCTATACACAACCGGGATTATTGTACTTTCTGGAAGACATCTTTCAAGATTCGACTCATTTGCTGGGGTGATCTAACCTGGAGTTTTCATGTATGGATAACACTGAGGAAGAGTTTTAAGCGTACGAAGGAAGAAGACGCATGTCAAAACATTGTGAAGGCAGCAGTTATTTTGTACCCAGTATTTAGTGACGTGAGAAGGGCTACTCTTGATCATACCTTCAGCGCCATCGACTGATACTAACCAGCCTATTACGTTAAGCGAATACAAATTAGCATCGCAAACTCTTCTCTTCAGACAGCATGATTTTGGACTATCTGAAGAATTTATCAGATCGTTAACTGAGTTGTCAGCCACTTCCATCGTTTCCTGAAACCGCATGTGGTAAAAACGTCTGTGTGCAGAGAATCAGGAAATGCCTCTATCCAAATGAGTTTCAGGCACCTAACAACCATAAGCCCATTCGTCGTTTCTACCACTAGATTTAAAATAAGGCCGATGATCTATGATACTGTAGAAGAACAATGGTGTTAATAAGCCTTTGTTTCCGAAAGTACAGCGGACGGTAAGTTAAGCGAGGGATACGCATTCAAACGAACGGAGAGGCATTCATCATTCGATAGACAGAGGAAGCCTAACAAATCATAGAGAAGGTTTAGTTCCTACTCAGCTGCTCGTTCCTCTCCTTTGAGTTGTTTAATCAGTCACAAGATCTGAGTAGCCAAATAATACTGTGTTTTTAAGGCCCTACAGATTCACAGTGTTTTTGCCGTGTAAAAGGACAGGACTCAAAAGTATGAGGCAGCATTATTGTTATATTTCAAATCGTTTTGTAGATTCATCACACATGGAATAGTACTATTTACTGTTTGAAGTTTCGAATGGCGGTTATTTGGCATAATCTATTTTTAAGCGGCTCCAACTGGTTTATCCGGAGTATGACGAGATTCCAGGTAGTAGCCCACAAGACAACAGCATTACTTTATAGACGTTCACTAATAAACGTTTAACTTTTGAAATTACTGCCCCCCTTGATCCATTACATTGCTCAGATATCAGTATCAAACAACATTTTCTGATCAAAGCGCAGCAGATATAACGCAGTTCAAGAATATATTCCACCTGACAATGTGAAAGTCAGAAAAATTCTTAAATGCGAAATATCCTTTAAAAAGCGTAGACTATAACCTGTGATTACAACACAATAATTAAGAGTAACGACACTAAAGTTGACCGAGATATGCAGCAAAGCCATGACATGTCGTAAAACATTTATTGTCCAAAAGCCTAGCTGGAGATATCTGTCCAAATATTCAAATAATGTAAATTATATAATCATATATATTACAGATATTAAAAGAACTTTAGGAAAGATTCTTATAAAAGGCAACTGCGAAATTTCTTGCAGCCTTAAGACATTCCTGTGGAACTAAGAATAATGTTTTGAGTATCCAATAACCAACTCGACTTCAACGCAAGCGGTATTTAAAGACGAAGATTTATTGATCAACCAAGTGTAAGCCAATATATATATAGTTGATTACATAGCAGCCTGACCATGCCGCTCTCAGTTGGTTGCTATCTGTAAACTAAAAGGTCTACATATAACGCCAGTATAATACACATCAATACTTCTGATCAGATTGCTCTGGTCTTCTGTCAACAAGCAAATGTCTAAGCCAAGAGAGGAACTATTGCCTAAAACGAACAGGTAAGACTGACAACTGTTAGCGTAGAAGTATGGATATCTGCCGATTTGAATATTGGGTCCTAAAGCATTTCTAGTTACGTATGCGTTTCCTGACAATGGTTCAGACACTAAGCCATCTCTGAGTCCGGATTTCCAGGGAGAAATCTACCCACATCAAGAGCTGTAAGCATTATATTCACTCTTCATTAGCTTGGTCACCAGACTCTGTGGGCCAGCCTAAAGATTCAGAGTGGCGTATCCAAAACGCAGGCCCAGCAGTACAGATGGTCACACGACAATCATGGGTGTTATTTCTGCTATAGACTAGTCAGAAACGAGCTCGAAGTTGTTCAAACAGAGTAACAAACTGACTTCTCAGAGCAGCGAAATTAGTGGATTAACAAAGTCGATAGTTCACTAAGTCTCAGTGACAATTAATTAGTAGATTCGCTGGTGTGATTTTGGTGACATCCAGGTTCACAAACAGTCTGTGAGGTGGAACAGTGTTTATCTACGTACACATGCGAACAAGCCGAATCTACAAAATCACATTGCCAATCAAATACCCTGCGATCACTACGGTTCCCGGTGGGTATTTAATCTCACTCCACCTTGTGGGATAAAATAAATTCCCAGTATTTTTAGTAGATACTGTTGAATACAACCATCAATCCAACGAGGAAGGGAATTTGAGTGTAAACATCAGAGATGAAACTCAAACCCAAATTTCTACCATATCACGTTATGCGTCTGTGTAAAATGGTGGTTTTGTGATGCTCAATGCTGAAGTTCTATAGAATAATAGCCACATGATCCTACCTCATTGGACAGTCGCGAAATGAACTGTATATGTATGCCCTCACTACACACCCTTAAGTCCGCGACGATAAAGTGGTCCAGCTCACTTCTGATCCATAGCTGCTGAGGATGTCACTGGTTAGGAAAGAGGAGTGTTGTAAAACATTCAGCGAAAGCATTTAGCTTATTGGTTTAAAAGCTGTGTCGTGACTTAAAATGAGGTCACAATAATGTTAAGTGATGGGCTGGGAATCTGCGCTTTTTATCAGCTGCCGTAATTGTGGATTATTTGCCAGAGAATGGTTTGAAACCACAGGAAGACTAACAGATAGGTCCTATTACAGAGCCATTCACGGCATGGTTCTCTATGTAAGTATAGCAGCTGCTGATGGGTAAGTGAGCACATATGCTTAAATATGCTCAAATGTTGGGCTTGCGAGTCGGGTCAGTGGCTAATTACATCGGTATGCTACCACTAAACTGACTAGATGGTATAAGAACTGTACCCAGCGCACAAAAAGCAAGCATTTACGCAGTATGAGATCAAAGCAAGTGGCAAGGTTAATAAAGCGGGATTAAATGAATTCATCAAATTATGGCAGAACTCTTCAGCTAGATGCTCTACATACAGAAAAATGAGGGTTTTACAGATCTAAATTACGAAAAATGCTTTTGCTCCTACCATCTACAAGCCTGTTCAGCTTCTTGTCAAGATGCTACCCCATGGGTCCTACACAAATCCGTGAGACATCTTACAATCTGGCTTGTCCTACGGGTTCTAGTCTTCCATATCTTTGAATTCGTTTTTCACTAAAATATCACTTGTCTACCTCAGGATATTCTCTTTATTTACACGCTGTTATACACAATTTTGCCTCAACTACCTAGTTTTTTATTGAAGCTAGAACTTACTCTTTGTTCATGTTTGTTGCTTGCTTAAAGTCTGGTGGCTTTGATGAAAAACACAACGCCAATGTTTGAGCAAAGCCATATTTTCATCGAAAACGTCGTAGTCTCTATGCTAAGACCTATATGGTTAGCATTGGGCATTGCAAATGCATACTATCATTCCAAGGAGTCTCCACCTCCTTGTTGTATATATCTTGTAAATGTACTTTCAGTGATGCATTATCCATAATTGTATTTTATGCCATTTCTCAGCTTCCCAGGACTTTCTCCTTTTCGCAAAATAGCTTTTAATGCCGTGGCGGCATAGCACTTAGTCAAATATACGCTGTTCACTGGTTGATCATAACTATTAGCAGACAACTGAACGAAATTCGGATTAACGCCCAACTTCGCCGATCACCTTAGTGGTTGCTTTACAGTTCAACATTTATAAGAAGCTGTTCTAATTGCTTGTACAATAATCAAACAATTTAAACTTTTGGAAAAGTATTAATTTACGATACTTCACGACTGCAATTTATGACACAACTGACCGTGCCTGTAAAAATGGCATGCAATTCTTGTAAACACCAGTTTACACGAAGTATAAATTATTATTACAGGGACATGTATACTGATGAGCAAACAAACTAGATGCACAACGACACGTGCGAATGTTTCTCAGGTAATGTTAAAATAGATAAGA